GATTATATTTTTAGGTCAATTATGGTTTCATTAGGTCGGGTACCACCCACTACCACCTCAGGTAGTGGTGGTCAACGGCCGCTCACGGCGGCAACCACCACCTCGTGGTGGTGGTGGTGGTAGGGTTTTTCTTCGGGTCTCCGGCCAAGAAACGCTCCTATAACCCCTTACTATTATAACACACGCACACAATCACTAAATATCACACACAGCCACCACCACATGGCGGTGGGTGGTGGCAGAACGGTTGTACACTGCGGCAGCCACCATGGCCGGCTGCCATGGTGGTTGTTCTCGGTTTTTCAGGCCAAACAAACACACCCACATGAAAAGCAACACACCTACTCGCGAGCACACCTCCAAACATGAACTCATCCGATCCCTCTTAATGGTGGTGAACTTCGACCGGAAAACTGAAGGGAAAAACTGCTCGAACGGCGGCAGCGGCGGCGACCGGTTGCTACGGAGTAACGTCAGGAGCGAGGGCAGCTGGGACAACATCGTCGACCACCATGAACGGATACGGTTGCTACGGAGTATCCCGTGTTATACCAAACTTTCATTCGTTTTAACAAGTTTAGTCCCTCCTCTACAAATCTTTTCCAACTTAAGTCTAGAATTTACCCTTTAGCCCTTGCCTTCCAAAAATCCTTTCATAATAAGTCCATAATTTACCAATCATACCCTCACTTCTAAAGTCCTTTTCAAATTAAATCCATAATTTAGCAAACAACCCTCAACCTTTAAAATTCTTTACAAATATTACACTCTTAACCCCAAAGTCCAAATTGAATCATTTAACCTCCAAAACCAATGCCGTGCTAAAGTATTCCAAATTTAGGGCCACTATTCATTTATTAATTTTATCTATTTATTTATTTAATAAACAGGATGTTACAGGAGTGGCCGAAATTTAGAGCCCTTAGGGTCCTTTGTATAGTGGTACAAGGAAGCATTGGATAACCCTAATTGGAATATAATAATAATATTTTAAATGAGTAATTATCCAACTCCTTTTCTATCCACGTGGGATATTCTAGAAACCCTAGAATATCCCCTCCAAAACCATCCACCCTTAACCTGGAAGGTTCTGGAGCCCTTTGTTCAACTATTGAACAATTGCACCTTAGACCTTGCATTTTTAATTAATTCTTTTAATCCCAAAATTATTTCTGATTAATTATTAATTATGTAATACTGTTTCTAATTAATATATTATTTTCATAATACATTACTAAACCATTTTAATTTATTAATCACATAATAAATTAATCTCTCTCTAAAAGTTATCCTGTCCAATGGCCAGCTTAGAGGGCAACCCAAAAGGACTGTGCTACTATCAACTCAAGTATATATCAATTATAGTTATGGGCTTAGACACTAAATCCAACAAGTTGTGCGTTGGTGCTTGTTCATTAAGTCATGCAACTTTTGTTAGCATTTTTGGTCATTTTAGTGCATAAAGTTTAGATCTTGAAAGTTTGTGACCTTGTTATGGGTAAAGTTGGAAACTTTATCCATCTAAACATCATATTGATTCAGATCTGAAGGTTGGAGACTTGGACTTAATGGATTAAGTTGAGAAATATGCATTTTTGGTCCCTTTGAGACTTAAAGACTAGATCTTGGTTGTTTGGGCCATGCTAATGGATAAAGTTGGAAACTTTATCCATTATAGAGTTATTAGGAACCAAATCTGAGAATTGGATGGTTAACTTTTGGTATTAAGCACTTAATGGGAAAATTCGGACAACAACATATTACGTGGGGCGTAATTTTGGCTATACATCGCGTAGCTTCATTTCCACCCGTAATTGCCTTCTTGGGCTCTACGCTAGGTGTAGAGCTGGTATGTTGGGCGTCCTCGGACTGGATGTTGACTTTGGCTTTTAACCATTGACCATTGACTTTGACGAAGTTTGACTTTAGGTCATTTGAGGTATTTTAAGCTGTAGATTGAGGCTTCGTCCCTGTTTGTTGTATAGGTGACTTATAGAGCCGGTATTTGGAACAATGATCAGTTCAACTATCGTTCGGAATTTGAGGTGAGTTTTCCTCACTGTACTCATGGGTCGAATGCACCAATGTTAGCCCACTAGGTTGTATTATGTATCCTGGTATATAGGATGTTGTTATGTTGTAGTGATCTATTAGATTGGTAGATCTGTATGATTACATGTATTTGCTGGTTATATGTTTATCTATTGCATATGTTGATATACTGCGATTGGGTTGAGGCGATATTGCTTTGTGTGGAAGCCAATAAACTCGGAAGCAATCCATACATAAGCTGAGGGCCGGGAGGGAAATCCAGACTTATGTTGTGGGCTCGGGAGCAATCCAGATATAAGCTGAGGGTCAGGAAGGCAATCCATACTTATGTTGTAGGCTTATGGGTAATCCAGTCCGATGACTGTGGACCCAACATGCATGTTTGTATATGTTCTGTTGCGTAGTGTATTTTGGGGGAACTCACTAAGCTTTGACTTACAATTTGATTTTATGGTTTCATGTATATCAGATGATCGAGGCAAGAAGAAGGCTTGATTTTACATATCATCTTGAGATTTATGTTGAGAGATGTTTTGGGGCACTATGATTTGATAACTATGTTTTTGGAAACAATCTTTTGTATGACTTATGGATTATAAAATGGTTTTGAAAAATGAAAATATTTACTATGAATTTTGGGACGTTACAGTTAGAGAGAGGGGACACCTAATGCGAAATTTTCCACCAAGAAAATATTTTAATTAATGACATAGTTATCTATAATTAAATATATAACTATCTAGTAATAATTAAATATTCCTAATTAGAAATTAAGTCTTTTTTATAGTTTCTAATCACACCATCAAACTATTAATGAATAACAAACTATCCATTTATCTATTATTCTCGCTTTTAGATGGTACTTTATGTGCAACCTCACTTATTGGTAGTATCGCAAACTTGTTATATCGGTGGAAATATCTCCAACAATAATACATTATATATCATAATAATAAGTAACTGATTCCTGAAAGTCAAATGAATGGTTGTTTTAGTGTGTTGGATTAAATCCAAGTGTGTTGTAACCATATTTACATGTACTTGGTGATCTAAGAAGCTTATGATGACAAATTAAGATAATTCTTAGTTAAGGACCGAGGGGAGTACATAATATTGAGCATATATCCCCATAAGATGCCTTATGATGAGATATATTTTGTATTGCTTGTTAATATATGTGTTTATATGTGTATTTTACTTGCAATGAGTTTTTAAGATGAAAAGACTTTAAAGATTGGGGATGTCTTTTAAAATGTTTTATCATTTTCTAACAGACATGTGATGTTGTATAAATCATGATCTTGTTGCATTCATTAATATGGAGATATATGTGAAAAGCCTAGTACAATATGGACACTTTATGTTATACATATGTGGTGGTTTATATCCTTCCTTAATTTTCATAGAAAAAGGATACGATCAAGGTTGTTAAAATCAGGGTCTTATTCGTAGGATTGTAAGATCATGCGATCCTACCTATAAAACCTTGTCGGATTGCAATATGATCGTTTTGTATGTAAGATCACAAACATGATTGTATGATCGGGATCTGATCTGATCCTACCAATCCATGAAATTTTCCAAATTTTAATCAAAATTTTATTATCTTTACCTCTACTTTGTTTGACCCAGTTTCCTTACCCAAAGGTAAGTCGATAATAGCTCCATTCTTATACTGTTTTATGAATTGTAAATGACCAACAAGCCTATAATTCTTTTTCTTCTTTTACGTTTACCCTCATCAATGGTAGAATTTGAGATTTAGCTTCATATTGTTATTAATTTCTCCTTAAGTTCAAGCTCAACAATAGATGTGAGTTTTTCCAGTTTCTTCTTTGAGTGCTCAAGCCCTTTTCACCGAGAGCTTGAAAACTTGTGGTTTTAATTGAACTTCAAAAGTTTAAAATTGTTATTGGTTTCTTTCTTATAGTTAAAGTACATAAGGTGTTAAATATTTAAAGCAACTAACATGAAGGTTGTAAGTTGCTACTATTGTATGATTTATGATCATACGTAGAATCCCGATCTTAAAACAATGGATAAGACGAACAATTTTTTTGAAAACTACTAAGACCATAATTATCCTCAAAATGATAAATATGCTAAACCATATGGACCAAACACCTAATTTTGTTTGAAACCAAAAAAAAAATAGAAATACAAAATTAGAGTATATACATAGACTATGTTGAAAAAGGAAATCTCCACTCCACTTTCAACTATTCCCATAAAGATTTCTCCATACATTCTCTGCAAAAAGACACTCATTCCTACATACAGTACCCTTCTTTTTTCTTTTACGAAGCTAAATACAAACTGTCATTTTCCCTTTAAATAAATCACACAATTTTTTATACCAGAGATCAAATTCAGTCTTTCATACTATACACAAATATTTTTTATATTCTAATGATTTTTATATGAAATATCCACTGATCCACTATGTGTTTTCTAATTCTACTTGCTTTTTTCATCTTGAAAATCACAATACAATCTATCTTCTATAAATGTTTTTCAAACTTCACATGATCTATCAAAAATAATGAGAGATACCAATCTGATCAATTGTTATCTAATATTATTATTCTATTTTTGTCGTGAAGAATTGTTGATGGAATTTAATATTTCATTCTAATCTTTTTTTTTCAACGACAAGAAGAAAGTTTGTTGGAAAATCTTGGGGCACTGTATATCAATCAGATCCAAAAATTTTGTACAAAAAATCAGTTTTTCAAATTGGGTAAAAGTTGATAGTTTCTGTAATTACTTTGATTAAATTCAAGTAGAATCTAATCCACTTGTTCTTCATCGGAATTCTAATTCAAAAAAATTCGTAGAAGAAATTTTAAAACAAAAAATCAGTATTCAATACTACTAATCTGTTATTGTTATTGTAATGATTTCTGGAAATTATCTCTACATTTTCCAAAAAAAAAAAAGATCAAAATCTATTCAGGAATTGTCACCAGAACAGGCCTCCATGCTCGTCTAAGTAACCGCTGCCGTAACGTCCCCGGCAAATGCCTAAATCTTCTTGACCCACCGCGCCGGCCAATCAGATCGCCGTCACCACTCCACCGATTCGTCTCTTCACCCCCTTCACGTCCGCCGTCATCAAGCGGCGGAGACACCGAAGACGACACAAACAAGTCCTTTAACTTTCGTCTTGCACCGTTATCCTTCCCATCCTCCGACGAAGAATCAACATCGCTTCCTCTCCGATCTACAAACTCATCAGGTGGCGGCAACCGCCGGGTGGTTTCGCCGCCGCCGCGACTCAGTAACATCCGTAGCGTCTTCCGTCGGCGGAGGTGAATAACAGGGCTTGAGGAAGGACTACGCGTAGGACTTCCGGCAACCGCGCATTGTGTCGCTAACATCTTGAATTTCTGCAGCGTCGCCATTGATTCCGATCTAACAAAAGGTCATGTAAATCAAATTGTTTCTAGAAATCGTGATATGACAAGAAATGGATCAATCATGAAAGAAAAACCTAGATCCGAGATGCTTATCGTGTGATCTAGCCATAGAAAGTATAGATTCTTTGTTTTTTCTACACACTATAGAGAGAGAGAGAGAGAGAGAGAGAGAGAGAGAGAGGTTAAAGAAGTGAAGGAAAGCAACTGTTAACGCCGGCAAGGTTAAAGTGACAGGTGATAATACGGGCGGATTTGTAGGATGGAATAGCGGTGGGCCCATGCCACGTGGACGATAACAGGTAGTTCCGAAACGGTCTTTCCCCTGGGTCACGCCGTAGGGGATACTTCTACTACATGTACTTTTTACTTCTTTCTTTACAAAATAACAATTTTTTCATAACAACTTTAGAGTATACTTATTGTTTTCTAGCTATATATATACATATATTGTTTTATTAATAAATTTATTTTAGAATGTGCATGAATCTAGTTTAGTCTTGTCTGGTCTTTTATATTCTTTTAAATTGTTAACCAAATACACTACAAAAATTAAATACTTTATTGTTTATAAATATTATTGTTGGATAGTCAAAAGGTGTCTATACCACTTAAAGGTCGTGGATTCAAAGCGATCGTAGCTCATATGTGTCCTCTTAGTTGTTTCTTTCAACCTAAGCGTCTATTGGTTGCGACTTAAAGTTTTAGAATGGAGGTTTGAGGTTTGAAATCGAGAAATAATTCTTTAACGATTAGTGTTTCATAGTTTACATATAATTTATTACCTAGAACTGGTTGCAACATGAAATTGTCAATTACACAGTTTACTTTTATTATAACAAATGGTGTATTCAACTATTTAAATCATGAAATTGTCAACATGAAATCATCTCTTATGGCCTTCAACTCCCATGCAACCCGAAAATAGAGAATTCAACCCTCTTTTCATCAATTCATTTATGCAAAGTAGGGAGGATCTAAAGCCCAGCCCCCTCCTATTTGAGGTCAGGTGGCCTTACCCTCTATAAGCACCCAACCTTCTTTTTGTTCTTCCTTGGAGTCACCTCCACGAACATGCCACTTAGGTGTATCTACAAAACATATTCTACAAGATATCATATTAGGATTTGGGGTATAGCCACCACACCACTATACAAAAAGTGTTGTCATATTGCTACCACATCATCACTACACCCACACGACACCACTTTAGTGTAATCAACACTCCACATCATCATACCAATTTTTTTAATTATCGAAGAGCCTTTGGCTAAAGATTGAGTGTTCAAATCCCTTGGTGGACAAAAAATTAATTTTCCAGTAGGGTCCAATGGGTGTGTTTTAACCATTCATTTTTTTTTAAAATTATTTACTATAATTAATATTGATTGAAATTTCAAATCAATTAACAACTCATGGTAAGTGTAACAAAAATTTTATCATTACATTTTGGAGTTCATATCAAATTTATCCACATATTAATTTTTTTTTTCACTTGAATCTAGTTCGAGTAAGTAAGCTCATCAAACACTCATTATTTTTTGTTACATGTATTTAATCTATTGGTAAATCATGTTGGTGATTTTAGTGTCACCATGTCATTTTATGTAACTGAAATTAACATGTGAGTTAAGGGGCTTCTTAATTTGTGTTTCTAATATGTGTACGGGTTGGTGCGGAATGCACACATGTATAAGATCAAATTAGTAGCCGGTTCGACGACTAGTCGAGGGTCCGGGGGCAGCGCCCCAAAACATCTCCGAATTTTACATATGGGTACATAGTGGGATATTCCGATTCTTGAGGGTGATTATGGTAAAACTAGCGAAACTCGTTAGTTTTGGTAACCCTAAATCCTCATTAAAATCCGGATTACCCTGACGTGCTTCCAAAGGAATCCATAGCGACCCAACCCTAATGAAACCCTAATATCGTTTATTATATAAACGGCTCTTCTTTTCAGAAGATATATACGATCGTAAGCTCTCGTTTTTCATCATACTTTCACATAATCCTCTAGCATATTGGCTTACGATTTCTGTGACTAGAATCGTAAGTGTCCATTTGGATTATCCTAGGCTGAATTTCTTGTAACCCAGTGTCACACCCCAAAACCAGAATGGCGGAAACGTTCTGGGGGTGGAGGACGTCAGGTGTAGCATCACAACCAATGAATAATAGCAATCATAGCAACACAACCATTACAGTGAATACTTAAATAAAAATGTTTACATCAGTTTGAAACTTTGTCTGAAACTTGTTTGAATTACATCAAATAGCTTTGTAAAGTATAAACATAAAACTCTTATTGCTCCAGTTCCTCAAAAATCCAGCAAGTACATGTCTACTGATTTTCTGAGAATACAAGCAGTTTAAAAATATCAGTATAAAGCTGGTGAGTTCATAAGCGGTATTTTGTAATGAAAATTTGTTGATGAGCTCGAAAAGGTGTTCGTATAGTTTCAAGAAAATCCTATATTTTCTTTAGTGAAAATGTAGTGTTTTCAATTCTGTATAAAACCATGAATGTTCGTTACTGAAAACTATAGTGATATACGAAAATAATGCTTCATGTGACTAGCTAATGCTAATCATGATGCATAAGTATTTCGTACGTGAAACCATTGTATGATCGATTCTGTTTGAAAACCCTGGAAATTCCCCAGTTGTAGTGTGTATTAGTTCTATTTAGTAAAATAAAACTGTTGAAGAATGACAGTTTGTAAACCACGAGTGATTTATACATATTGTGAGTCGTATAACCATACTTGATAAGACTAGAGACCTTTCCAACGTTCTTCAGGCGTCGAGTTAAATGACATTTGTCACCCTAGGCATGCCTGCCCAACTGTAGCTAGCAGTTCGGGTGTGGGATTGTCAGTACCGAATAGATCTACTCACAAATCTCACGCTCTCCCTCCAGGAGACTCTGATTATACTATGATAGGATTTATCCCTGTACACCTAAGGGTACAATATTGAAGTAGCGCATCACAGTATCGTACAATCTAGTTTACATGTAGTGTAGTAGCGCTCTACCATAGTGAAAATCCGTATGTATACCGTATGTAGTGATAATTACAGTTATGAATACCATGATAAAGTAGTGATGTAAACTGTAAACTGTCTTAGTGTATATGTTTAGTAGTGAAAGTTTCTGTACTTGTTATGTTTAGAAAATCCCAAACTATACCGATTATAGTTTGAATGTATAACGTAGTGAAATAAAGAGTCCGAAAAACTATGCAATTTTAGTGAAAACGTCCCTTATGCTCAACACAGTACAAAAGGGTTAAAGTACGAGAATTGCATGAGTTTTGAAAACATTTATGTTTAGCTTGTATTCCCCCCTGAAAACATTAAAAATACGGAAAATGTAGGGGTATGAACTCACCGTTTGACGTAAGACCCGAGCGTAAGATCGGTGTGGATGCTGAGTGTCAACTGATGTTTCGCACGCAAGTGGATCCTATTAACATATGGTAACACATATATGTATTAAATGAGGACATAACACTATTTGTTATGGAAGAAAACCACCTTAGGGACTAGGAAACACTTGAAACTAAGTGTTAGAATCACACGCGATTGAAGATGGGGAGTTTGCGGCCGTAATCAGGAGTGGACGGTCAGGGTTTGCGGCCCAACAAGGTTTACGGCCCATGAGTTTGCGGCTCAAGTGTTTGCGGTCCATGGGTTTACGACCAGTGGGTTTACGGCCCATGAGTTTACGGTCGTAAACACTTGGTGAAAGGTGCGATTTTTGGTGTTTCAAGGGCCTTTCTAGCCTCTTGGAGGTGTTCTAAGCCTTGTGCCCAGCTCAAAGAAGAGTTTAAAGGCCAATAATCGACCAAAAATGGAGTTTACGGCCATTGAAGGGATTACGGCCGTAAACCCATTTCGTGTTCATGATTTCGGGTCGATTTCTAGGTGAAAACAAGTGATTCTTAGTAGATAACAAGCATAGGGAGTAGTTACTTACTGTAAGAGGCTTGGAATGAGGTTTTTAGTCACCAAGAACTAGTGTGTGTTCTTGGTGTTCTTGGTGTTTTTGGTGAGAGAGAAGATCTAGAAAAAGATGAAATTTATGAGATGAAACATGGATTCATCACTAGAAAAGGGATTGAAACACCATAGAATTGAAGAATCACTTACATTTTGAAGATCCTTGAGCAAAACTCGAAAATTGTAGAGAGAGAGTAGAGAGAGAAAGTCCTTTGAGTGCTTAAAGCTTGAAATGAAGGCCACTCATCCTTTATATAGGGGTGAGTTTTCGGCCAAGGGGTGGGGGGTTTACGGCCGTAAACTCGAGTTTGCGGCCGTAAACTCCTCTCGAAGGGGTGTTTGGCCCGGATGCTACGCTTTGACTTGGAAAAACTCATTCTTGGACCCAAACTTCGATTGTACTGAGTTCGAAGTATTTAATTAGACCCGAGGTATAGCTGACAAGAGCAGAAATTAATTCCGAATTGATTTATTTTTAACGTTTTGGACGAAAGAAGTTTTGGGTTGTCACATCATCCCCCCATTTTGAGGGAATTTCGTCCCGAAATTCGAACATAGAATACAAATCATGAATTAGGAAAGAGATGCGGATACTTCTGTTTCATCTGATCCTTGCGTTCCCAAGTGAATTCAGGGTCCCCGCTTGGCATTCCAGCGAACCTTCACTATCGGGATGCGACTTTGTTTTGTTCGTTTGATCTCTCTGTCCATGATTTCGACCGGTTCTTCCACGAAGTTGAGGTTCTCGTTGATTTCAATCTCGTCAAGAGGAATTACAAGTGTCTCATCGGACAGACACTTCTTTAGGTTCGATACGTGGAAGACTGGATGGATATTGCTGAGTTCCCTTGGTAACTGGAGTTTGTATGCTACGGGACTGATCCTAGCAAGGATCTCAAACGGTCCAATGTACCTTGGGTTTAGCTTTCCACGCTTTCCAAAGCGTATCATGCCTTTCCAGGGTGAGACCTTCAGAAGGACGCGGTCACCAACCTAGAATTCCAAGGGTTTTCGTCTCTTATCGGCGTAGCTCTTTTGTCTATCTCGGGAGGCTTTCAGACGTTCTCGGACTTGTACAATCTTTTCAGTTGTCTCTCGGATGATCTCAGGACCAGTGAGAGTACTGTCGGGGACTTGACCCCTGGCTAGCTGCGT